TTTACCTTCAGATAAGTGAGAGTGAGAGAGGGAGGAAGAGAGAGACAGAAACATCAATGTGAGAGAGACACATCAGTTGGTTGTCACCCGCATGACCCCAACTGGGGCCGAGGACAAACTGCAACCAAAGTATGTGCCCTTAGTGGGAATCGAACCCAGGACTCTCTGGTCCGCAGGCCGATGCTCTAACTGCTGAGCCAAACCAGCCAGGACAAGATAAACATTTTTAATAAACATTTTCAACAGGTACCAATTATTTTTTTATATTTTTGGATGAATTTTTTATAAACCAGCTTTAAATAGCTACAGAAGTCTTAGCAACTCTTCTCTTTGCAACCCTATAAGGGCATTTCTAGTTCTGCACATAGTGTCATGAGTTCTCAGATTAATTTACTAATTCATTAAGAAGTAGACTATAGCCCTGGCCAGTTTGACTCAGAGGTCCTTGGATAGAAGAATCACAGGTTCGATTCCCTGTTGAGGGCACACACCTTGGTTGCAGGTTCAATCCCTGGCCCTGGTCCGTATAATACAGGATGCAACCAATCGATGTATCTCTCTCACATTGCTGTTTCTCTCTGTCTCACTCTCTCCCTCCTTCCTTCTCACTCTATCTTTAAAAAAAAAAAAAAAAAATCAATGGAAAGGTATCCTCGTGCAGATTAAAAAAAAAAAAAGTAGAGTATAGCTTTTTAAGGGAAAAAATAAAACAAGCATAATTTATGGTTATTCTCCTCCTCTTCTCCTCCTTCTCCCCTCCTCCTCCTCCTCCTCTTCTTCTTCTCTTCCTCTTCTTCCTCTCTCTCTCTTTCTTATTTGCTTTAACAAATGATCTCCCTAAATTGCTTAAACACCATTTACTCCTACTAAAGAGGAGAGGCATAATTGGGAGCTGCTATGTTTTTCAGCTCTGCATTAGTGTTAAAGATCTGTGCCCTGACAGGTTTCAAGTCAAATGAACATTGGGTGGAAAATGCTATATCTGGCTAACCATAAGAAGTTGGTTGGTTTGCCTATTGAACTATTAGGTGCTACTATAGTCTTAATTAGAATATTTTTTATATAAAAATTAAAGAGTTAAAGTAGATGCCTTTTATAGGCTTAATAGAAGATTTAAGAACACCTGTATTGCAAGCTACTACATTTTAAATGTTAAAATGTAACAAGAGCATTGGATGCAAACATTTTTTGGACACAGATGATAGTATTTACATTTATGAATTATTTAGAGGAAGTATTAACATGCAACCATATGAAAAAAGATTGACATTTATAAGAAATAAAATTAACATCAAGAAAACTTTTTTCCATGATTTATGCTGTAAAGTAATTTTTATAAGGGGAAGAATAAGCGATGACTGACTGCTGTTTGGTGGAGGTACAGGTGGTGGAATATGCAAGGGGTGTAGGGAAGTGTTTCGGGTTTAAATGTATTTCTGCCATATACTTTATGTATTAGAAATTTATTTAAATTTTTAAGAGGAGCATATAAATGCAAATATATCTGTTGATTTTAAACTTTTATCTATCATTCATTTGAATACCTGAGTACCTACTAAGTATAAAATATTGTACTGTTTTATACTTAGCATAATAAGGCTGTAGCACTCCGCTTCCTGTTACTTAGCTGAAACCAATCAGTCTTATTTGGAGAAAGGAATATCAGTTATTTAGAAAAGAGTCATTTTGAAACATGGGACAGTTTTTGAAAATGCAGACCCAAGTAATATGTTCCACTAAAATCAGAAGGCAGCATGAGTTTATTGAGATATGAAGAAGAGAAGAAAATATGAAAATAAAATAATTTGCTTCCCATTGGTTCAGTGTACTCTACAAACTGTCTTATCTTTTATTTGCTAGTTTATTTGGGGTACAAATTATTTTATTTTTATGAAATTTTGTTTCCTAAAGTAATGTTGGATTAAAATTTACAAAAATTTTTCTTTACAAATATACATATACACAGTAACAATATGTATAAGTCAAACTTAATTTTTAAATGAGTCATTTAGAATGTGGTCACATCTATGCCAGTCACAGGGCAATCTGTTGTATCTTTTGTATCCTTTGTTTAGGTCATGAATGGTTGGTATGTAGGAGGGTGGTAGGTAACAGTTCTATTTTTATTTATACTAGTATATATTTGGATTAATAGATCATGTTCCAGGGGCCTGATTTTTTTTTAAATTGTGAAAAAATCAAACATACACAAAAGAAGAGAGACTTGTGTAGTAAATTCCCTATATCTATGGCCCAGATTTAACAATTAGCAAAAATTTCCCACATTTGCTTCATCTACTTCTTTTTTTCTCAGATATTTTAAAACAGATCCCAGACCTCATCTTTTAACTCCTATATTCTTCAGTATGCGTTTCTTAAAAAAAAAAAATTCTTGTATACCCATACCTTGTCACATTAAACAAAATAAACAATAATTCTTTATCACTTGGTATTATTTCTCTATTCAGTTCCCCTGTTGGATTAAAAATCTCATTTTACATGTGGTTTGTTCATTCAGAATCCAAACAAGATTCATACAGCATTTGATCATTAGAACTGTTCTATAATTAAAATTTCTTTTCTTCCCCTTCACCATTTTACCTTTTCCCTCTTTCACCTCTGCCCTCCTTCCCTTCTCTTCCTCTTTCTTGTCCTTCCTGTGCATTACTTATTAAGAGAAACTGGGTAAGCTGTCCCATAGAAAATTTCTCATTCTGGATTTTTCTGTTAGCTTACCTAGTTAACTTATTTCTCTAACCTCTAAATTTCCTGTAAATTAAAAGTTAGCTTACAACACTTACTAGACTCAAGTTAAGCATTGATTTTAGTTTTAGGGGAGGGTTGACAGGGATAATTTATACATGGGGTTATTCCTTAATATTGCAACACATCACGGAGCACAAGACATTTACTGTCACACTTTCAGCAGTGTTAAAATTGGTCAGTGGTGACGGTACAGTCTCTCTACTGAGAGTTTTCCATCAACCTTTCCTTCATTTGCTAATTGTTCTCTGAATCAATTCTATCATTAGGTTTTGAAAGATAATGAATCAGCTGCCCTTTCCACATTTATTAGTGAGAATTCATCTATAAAGAAGAAACTTTTTTCATAAACTATAGGTTTTTGATATTTGTTAATTCTCACCTGAGGATCTTTTTTCCATTGAGTGAAAGAGAGGAAGGGAGGGGAGAAAGAAAGAGAGAGAGAAAAACATTGATATAAGAGAGACATATCGATTGGCTGCCTCCAATTGCATACGATTGCACAAGATTGGGGTGGGGATCGAACCTGCAATTCAGGTACATGCCCTTGATTGGAAATAGAACCCAAGACTCTTCGGAGCACAGGCCAATGCTCTAACCACTGATCCCACTGGCCAGTATGAAACCTGGTGCTTTTCATATCTCTTAAATACCTAGGTATCCAAGAGTAACTTTGTATACAAGGAATACATAGCATTTAAGTACCCGTGTAATTGTAGGTTTTTGTAAAATATATTTCTTATTTGATTTTTATGAACATTGTCAGTATTAGATTAGCTTTATATAGTCAACATGTACAATGTTGATCATATATAAGTTGAGCACCTTTTCCTGGTCCTACTTGGTCAGATATTCTGCTTTGTGATGAATCATTGGTGATGAGCTCAGCTTGGAGGGATAGAATTTTTTATTGGGTTAGCAGATGAACAACATCACCTAGCAGAGTAAAAGCCTTTAGGTGGGGATGATTTTATATTGCTAGAATCATAAACTTAAGTTCAGTGATAAAACAATCAACATTTTTATTATATTTATTGGGATAACATTGGTTAATAACATTATATAAATTTCATGTATGTACTACTTTATAACATGACATATATATACACTGTATTGTGTGCTCACCACCCGAAATCTATTCTCTTTCAGACACCATATATTTGACCACCTTTACCCTCTTGTCCTTCTCCCTCCCCCATTTCCCTCTGGTAACTACCTTTTTGTTGTCTGTACCAATGAGTTTGGGGTTTTTGTTTGTTTGTTCCTTTTTGTTTTATATTCCATATATGAATGAAATCATATGGTTCTTATCTTTCTCTATGTGACATTTCATTTAGCATAATACATTAAAGATTCATCCATGTTATCACAAATGGCAGTATTTCATCTTTTCTGTGGCTGAATAGTATTCTATTACATAATACATGCACCACATCTTTTTATTTTTAGTTTATTCAATAATCACCACTAACTTTATTTTATTTAATACTGTTAATGAAGAAAAGTAAAATCATATTTTATTTTTAGGTGACATGATTAAGAAAATATGGCAACTTTAAAACCATTTATAAACAACAAAAATTTAATAATTAAGTGCTGTATATACTATGTCTTTATATCAGCTTAAAAAAAATCCTGGCCGGTTTGGCTCAGCGGTTAGAGCGTTGGCCTGTGGTCTGGAGAGTCCCGGGTTCGGTTCCCGCTAAGGGCACGTAGCTTAGGTTGCAGTTTGTCCCTGGCCCTGGTTGGGTCGTGTGGGTGGCGACCACTGGGTGTGTCCCTTTCATGTCACTGTTTCTCTCTCTCTCTGTCTCTCTCTCTCACTCTATCTGAATAAAATATCAAAAAATATCCTCGAGTGAGGATTAAAAAAAAAAAAAAAACATAATGGGAGAAGAACCCATTCAGTATTGTAACAACAAAAAAAAGTACTTAAATTTGAAGAAGATGTTAGACATTTCTGAAAAAAATTAACATCATGGAAAACATTTTTTAAGATTCAGATAAATGGAGAGAAACTGTTTCTGAATCATGAGAATATTGGCAAATTATATGACTATAAGTAATTTATGGACATTTAGGTTTACTTCTCACTTTCAAAATTTCTAGTGATTTTTTTTATTGGAATTCTACAGTGAGGGGAGGTTTCACCCTATTTATATCAGAAACAGTTTTTAAAATCCTTACCTAAGGGTATGTTTCCATTGATTTTTGTTTTTTGTTTGTTTTTTTTTGAGAGAAAGAAGGAATAACATCATTTGGTTTCTTCCTGTATGCCGTCTGACCAGGGATTGAACTGCAACCTTATGTATGTGCTCTGACTGGGAATTGAACCCACAACCTTTTTGGTGCATGGGACAGTGTTCCAACCAGCTGAGCTACCATGACATATATCAGAAACATTTTGAAGCATCCGTGTCTAAACCATGGTAATGATACAGAAATAGATGTGTAACCCTATAGATAGTAGAAGGGAACTTTTTTACCTCTCACAGATTTAAATATAAATTTTACTTGAACCATTGACTTCTTGGTCAGTGAGAGGCAAGAGAAAGGCCCTTCGTCCTGTGACTTATGTAAATTCCTGTGCTTGACTTAACGACCACAGACCACAGGTTCTATTGCCCCTGCTTGCATGCCACCCTGGTTTCTTCCAATGTCAAATACAGATATGAAATCAGCCCCTTTACTAATTTCAAAAATTTACTTAGCATTATATGCGTTTAAAAACTGAGTAGGTTTTTCTTACTCTTTGAGTAAAACATTACTGTCCACATCCATGCTCTTTTTCTACTCACAAACTTTCCTAAATTAATACAGTTGCCTTCTTAAGGGGAATTCTGAAAAGGAAACTCTCTCTCCATCTTGTAAAACATGGTTTACTGGAGCATTATGAGGAATCCAAAATTAGTCCTGTCTATATACAACACCTTAATATATGATTAAGTATTATTTCCTAAAGGAAGGCTATTTACAGGATATTCACTCAGTAGTATTTAGGCAGTAGCATTCAGTGATATAACTATAAGACTGATTAGATGAATAAATGTTTTCATTCTTCTGTTACAGCCATAGGAATTAAAAAGAAAACTAGAGTAGAAAATACTTTTTCATCTCATATTGAAAGCATTAGTAGAATTCACCAAGGTAAATATGTATTTGAATATTAAAAATGTTTGTACTAAAATATTATAATTAAAAAGATTACAGAAAGTTGTGGAAAATATCTACTTCAACTGTTACAAAGAAAATACTTGCTATAAAAATTTATATTATTGCAGAATATGCACATTGAGAATCAAGATCCTAATATATAAATGAGAAAAATACGACAGTTAAGATTTGAAAATAAATATGCAAATAAAAAAATATTAGGGAAAACATTTACTCATGCACTTCAAAGTTACAAAATAAATGACTTTGAGAAATAGTTTTTCATTCTTTTATAGGAGCCAAATTTTTAAAGAAGAAATCTGATATTGTCAAGATAAGCAGTGATACCAAACTTTTAGGAAGAAATACAGGAATATATGATGAGACATACAGTCATGTTCAGATATTTCACTTGTAGGAATTCAGATATAAATATTTTGCTAATTATAAAGCATTTATGTACAAAATTGCTCAGTTTAGACTAATATAGAACATTAATATAAAATATTATTGTCTTAAATTATTAATTTTTGAAGACTCTAGAACAACTGTCCAATGGAACTTTCTGTGTTGATAAAAATATTCTGTAATCGATACTGTTCAGTAGTGGTAGCAATTAGCCACTTGAAATATGGCTTGGGCAACTGAGGAACTGAATGTTTAATTGAAAAAAATGTTTTTGTTTTCTTTATTGATTTTAGAGAGAGAGGAAGGGAGAGAGAGACAGAAACATCAATGAGAGAGAACATTGGCCGCCTCCTGCATGCCCATCACTGGGAATCAGGCCCACAACCTGGGCATATGCCCTGATCAGGAATCGAATCTGTGACCTCTTTGTGTGTGGGTCGACGCTCAACCACTGAGCTACACGAGCCAGGCCTGAATTTTAAATTTTATTTAACATTATTTAAATTTAAATACTCACATGGGGCTAGTAGCCACAGTATTGAACAGATCTCACTTATTTGTGGAATAAAATGAACCAAACAAACTGATGAACAAAATTGACCCAGAGACATAGAGGTGGGGTACAGACTGACAAGCCTCAGAGAAGGGGAAGTTGGGGGGGGGGGATAAATCACAGAACTTATATGCATGTATGCATGACCAATGGACATAGACAACAAAGTTGGGGATGCGGTGGGAGTGATGGGGAGGAGGGTGTCAATGGGGGACAAAGGAGAAACATCTGTAACAAAAACAAATTAATTAAAAAAAAACAGTTCCGTTCTAAAAATATGGAGAAATATTAAGTGTAAGTGAAAATATATTAGTAAGTTTATATGCTATGACTACAAGCATGTAAATGCCTATATATACATATGGGAAATTATATAATTAAAATATTTATATTAATATTGAAGGAAATGGATAATTTTTTTTAATGCTGTTTGAAAGAACAAGTAAAAATAATACAGTACTCCAGTATTGCACTGTTCAGTATGGTGGCCACTAGCTGGACATGAAGATTTAAATTTAAATTAAGTAAAATTTAAAATTTAGTTCCTCAGGGGGCTAAGAGACAACCTTATCACAAGAGTTAAAAGAATCCAGAGTTGAAAGCTTGTGTAAACAAGCCTTATTAATGTCTTTACTAATTTACTACTCAAACCCAAGCTCTAGATTCCTCACTAACAAATACCCAAACCTTGCTTAGATTCCTTTCTAATGAACACTAATTTTCTTTTGTCCTGTCAATTTCTTAAATATATATTGTTTCTTTGTCTAAAAAATATAAAAATCTGCCCTGGCCGGTTTGGCTCAGCGGCTGGAGCATCAGCCTGCAGTCCAGAGAGACCGGGGTTCGGTTCCCACTAAGGGCCCATACCTCGGTTGCAGTTTGTCCCCGGCCCTGGTTGGGTCATGCGGGTGGCAGCCACTTGATGTGCCCCTTTCATGTCGATGTTTCTCTTCCTCTCTCTCCCTCCCTCTCTGTCTGAACAAAAAATGGAAAAATGTCTTCACGTCAGGATAAAATATATATATATATAAAATCTGCCTGGTTCATTCATCTCTCTTGAGTCTCATTTTATGATCAAATCATCATGTTTTGATTCTCCCGTATACACATATTAAATTATTTTTCCTCCCGTTAAAAAAAAAAATTTAGTCTGCACACTAGCCCACATTTAAGTGCTCAACAGCAAAATGGCTAATGTTCACTCTTCTTTTGATAGAGTCTCCTCTGAACATTTCTACCATCATAAAAAGTTCTGTTGTTACAGTGCTACAGAAATAACTGATGGAAGGAATATACTAGAACAAGTCATTGATAATTTATTAGTCGATAATTTCTAAGGGCAGAAATGAATTAAAACTGGAAATTAGACTCCGCAAAAAAGTGTAGGGAACAGTATCATAAGACCCTACACTTGTGACCTAGGTCAGAACTTCATTAAGTATGGGTAGCAGATTAGTGCTGGTTTTATCAGTCCATCACTAAATGCTTACTCAATTTTAGTACTTGTTTACAAACTAATATATATATTTAAAATTTATCTTTATTATTGAAAGTATTACAGATACCCCCCTCCACACTGCTCTCCCACCAATCTAGGCTTTCACCACACTATCGCCCACGTCCATGGGTTATGTATACGTGCATATAAGTTCTTTAGTTACTACCTTCCCTCACCCCTTCCCTCTGAGATTCCTCATTCTGTTACACGCTTATACTTTTAAAGCAAGGTGATATTTCTGTGTCATCCAAGTATATCACTTATCTTCCTAAGGGATAGACTGGTCTGATTATTAAAAATCTGCTTAGAGAGTTCTATGTATATGAAGTTTGAGCAATAGTCCATGAGCGTGGGTCCACAATGGAAATAAAAACAGTCCACTACATGTAGTATGAGAAACATTGGTCAAAATGAAAAAGAGAAAATAGATTGCTCAGGGCAGTTTTGTAAGGAACTTAAATTAGTTGTTAGTATAGCTTAATAATCTGTACTTGCAAGTGAAATTAAAAATTGAACACTAAATCTCTGAATGTAGTGAATTTAAGCCTTCATCTCTCCTGATAGTAGAAATGAGGCAAAAGATTCATTATCCACAAATGTGAATAAGAATTTCAAAGGAGTTCCTAGTCAGTGCTTCTGTCTGAGGAATTTGTTTTCCTTTTCACCCTTCTGGGCCTGGGAGATTCAACCATCTAGCAGAATCTTTTCGTTCCAGCAAGATTTCCAATTTTTTGTTTTTGTTTACCCTTTTTAATCTCCTTTCAGCATATTGTTGCACTTAGATCTTTGGAACTATTTTCATCCCTTACCCCCAAAATTAGATTCAGAGGCTTATAAGATATCCCAAATAGGAAAATAGTTTTAAATTAAGTGAGCATCTAAAATTTTATTTTAAGATCTCTCTCTTTTTTTTTTTTTTCCACATTTTAAGCCTGATTCCCTGATACAAGATATTACATTGAATTATTTGTGAAATCTGGAGAGCTTTTTACTAGTAACTATAATCAAGGCATAATGTGTCAGCTAAAGCATTATTTTAATGATATAGGGTAATCATAAATTCTAAATTTACTGCCTTTTTTCTTATTGTGGTTTTTGCTCTACATTACATGGTTGTTTATACTCTGAAATGAAATGTTACATATATATGTATATATATATATATACACAGTGTTCAGGTTTTTTTTTGAGGACTGATTCTACTTTGTAGAATTTGAGGTCAAATGGAATCAACTACTTTATAACAGTTCTGATTCTAGTGGCCTTACATTTTTTATTAAAATATGCATATATATATATATATATATATATATATACACACACACACACACATACACACACACACACACACACACACACAGTCCTTTGTCAATATTATTGATTTACCTGTTACTGATTTCAACATTTCTTCTTTTTCTCCCTAATTTATCAAATTTGGAAAGAGTTAGAAAACAGTTGGAATAAATCAATCTCTGTTTTTTAATAGTCTATAAGTTACAGAAAAGTAAATTAATAGTATTCAGTTTTTCTTGTAAAATTTTGTGTTTTTAAGACTGAAAAATGTATATAGTCACTTAAATATGAAAATCATACTGATACATGTTATCTTCTGATTTCAGTGTAATATTATGGTAATGATTTACTTTATTTAGGCAAAATTATAGATATAGATAACCATATTATCACTTAGTTTATATAGACCTACTTTTCAAAAGATGAAATATAATTAATATTAAAATATTAAGGCATATTACATTTTATCTAAATATTCTATTCTTATATTTGATATTTGATAATGTATTTTTAAGGTATAATGTGTGATTTCCTGATCTTAAAATATTTCATTTCTTTTCTGAAGTTTGGGTTATAATATTTTTATAGCATTTTCTCATAAATATTTTATGATATAGCATTTTAAATATTTACTATGTGATTAAAGGTTGATATTGTTAATGTTTTTATATAATATTTTCAGATTTCTCAGATCATTTATAGGCTTCTAATTGTTTCTTTGAATTTTATTTATTGATTGATTTTTTAAAGAGAGAGAGAGAGAGAGAAACATCAATTTATTTTTCCACTGATTTGTGCATTAGTTGGTTGATTCTTGTATGTGCCCTGACCCAGGATTAAACCCAAAACCTTGGTGTATCAGTCTCAACACTTGAACCAAGTGAGCTACGCGGCCAGGGCTAATTGTTTTATGCAAGTTTTGACCTTGAGAAGTTTGACCAACTGGTTACTATTCTATTTATCACATTTTTTAAGTACTTACTATGTACCAGAAACAAGTTGAGGCTCTGTAAATAATTTTTTAAAAAACAAAGAAGAAACAAAAATCTATTTCCCCTGGGAGCTTACATTCCAGAAGGTTGCTTCATATATGATTCTGTGACATTTCACAAAACTCAAAGGGCTTTCTGTTGTGAAGAAATGGATATATTCAGTATTTGGAAATTTAGAGATTTATCAAGAGAAAGGACAAAATTTCTTCTAGCTTGTTTAACTCATTGCTTTTTAATGAGTTTAGCTTTACTAGTTTTTTATGGAATTTAAAACTGATAATTTGGCACCCCAAAATTTGTCTATATTTTTCTCAACTTTCCAACTGATAGTTCAGTGCTGGGATAGAAGTTGAACTAGTTAGTCACTTTAGATTTTGGGCTTAAGAAATAATATTTGAAGCATACAGTATTATTTTAGGAAGATAAGTATTTTTTGAAAGAAGAGAATGTGATTTTTGAATACTCATGATTTTATCTAATTTATTTTCTTCAGAATTTACTTTCTGTAATATGGATAGATAAACTTGAACCAAATGGTATAATCTCAGTATAATATTTTACTCTTCTCTCCTCCTTCAGGAAAATCTTAAACTTCCACCACAAGAAGATTAAAAAGAGGTTCCTCCTGCACCAAGAAAGATCTGCAGATCTTTTTCAGTGTTCTTGGAGGTGTGGGGTGTGAGAACTTGATCAGTTTGTGTCAACCACCTTGTTCTCTAAAGGTAAGCACAATGTAGTGAGTGCATACTCATGGGCCCAAGCTCCTAATGCAGGACTGGTTTTGGAATGCTCCATGGAGGGATTGAGACCATCAGACTTTCTCACAGAAGGGGCCTAGGCAGCCACTTGTGGGCAAAGACATCACATACATCTATCAAGAGATGGTTTTCATTGTTTAGAAGTGAAGCATGTCCTTGAGATGTATGGATGTTTTTGTTTTGTTTTGTTTTAATACCAGTTATCATAAAACTTATCTTTTAGTTCAGTGTGCATCTTAAATAAATTTAGTAAATTCTGTGGTTAATTCCTCATCAATTTGCATTCAAGAATTTTGAAACAGTGACAGCATTTAAGCAGTTTGGTGACTTAGCTTAAATTGATATAACTAGCTTTGAAGAATTGCTTTTCATGATCTTTTTGAAGCTGTTTCTAACCTTAACTTCAAAGTAAGTCTATCAAACCATTTTAAATCTGTATTAGGCTTCAGAAAGTATAGAAACAAAGGCCTTTTTAATCTTAACTAAGTATATGGTGATAAAATTCCTTATGCCAGATCCTAATAGGAAAAAAAAAAAAAATCACTTAAAATCAGCAGCTTTTTTCCTGTCTTGCAACTTTTTCCTGTCTTCAGGAAATGAGGAATGTATATATTGATTCCACCAGAGAAACCCCAATGAAGGATAAATTAATGTCTCAACTTTACTTTTGAACTCTAACATCAGAAAACGTTATTGTTGTTTTGTACAATTTATTGACACCTCTCAAAATGACCAATTCTAACTTAAATTATCATTTGGTTATTTATTGACTATGAAATACAGGATTTTGAAAATGTCATCAATATTAAAAGTAGGTTAGTGTTAGTTAAGAATAACTTTGGCTGTTACCAAGAGACTAAATGTCAAACAAAATGTTTCAGATTATAATCACCACCACAATACTGTGGTATTGACAATGAGGACTTAAAGTGCTCATGAAGAAATTAAATCTTTTCAACTGCTCTTGGAATCTTTAGTTCTACAAGATGTGAAATTCTTATGAAAAATTAAATTTTGGAGAAATCTGATTTTTGTCTGGCAGCCCTCTCTTTGTTAAAGATAAATTTTGCCTTTTCAAAACAGTTGTTCTTCCAATATTTGTATAACAAAAGATGTTAAGGAGTGAAAAACCCTTTATGCTTACTGTTGGAATGAGAAAAACTATAACCTTTCTTGAAAAAACCTTGAGAACCAATTTACTTTTTTGTATGTTAATAGTTGGGGAGTTAGAACTAGTCTTGCTTATTGTAACTTCAGACAACTTTAAAAGAATTAAATCTTCAAAGTAGAGATGATATAAGTTATATTAGTGAAGACATAATTAGAAATATTTAGAAATAATTGCTCTATGTAATTTTTGAATTTTTATTTGTCAGAGCATGTTAAGTATTTTTAATCTTTACAATAGCATGAAACAGAATGGATGAATGCCTTTACTCTTTCAGCCATTTGAAAAGAAAATTTGAATCAAAAGCTAAACCTACTGAAAATGTAAAGGGTGGTATAAAAATAACTAAACAGATTATTTCTTACCTAAGCTAAAGCTTTATTATAAATGAATAGTTTTAAACTAAAAACCCTGCCCCTTTTAAAAATGATTTTTGTCTTACAATAGTATTAGCAACGTATTTTGTAAAAAGAAAAAAATATTTCACCATTCTAAAAGTAGTATTGTCATTTAAATCTGTTATGTAGCATGAATATATAAAATAGGGACCACTGGTATCTAAAATATCAAAAATGAGATCTTTCCCAACAATTCTTATTGATAACTTGTATCACCTCAACTTATAGTTGGCAACAAAATATTGTTCTGTGGTTTTGATAATATATTGGAGTGAAAACCCAACATAATGGTACTGAAGGAGTTTTCCATTGGAACTAGTATCTGGGAGATTTGTTTTAAATATATATACCTAGACATATTATTTTTATTTATTTATTTATTTATTTATTTATTTATTTATTTATTTATTTATTACATGCCCCTAGCGGGAACCGAACCTGGGACTCTCTGGTCCGCAGGCCAGTGCTTCAGCTGCTGAGCCAAATTGGCCAGGGCGTTTTTTTTTTTTTTTGGATTGCTTGTTTATTTTTAAAGGATTGTAGCCAATCCATGGAAACAGTCCCTACTAGGAATTAGTTTTGTTTGTGTGCTCATTTTTCTTACCTACTCTTAATAGCTAGAGGGAGTTGAGAGAGGCAACCCTGTGTTTACCAATATTGATTATTTTTGGGAAGGAATGGTGAAATTCCAGCCCAACACCCTCCTTATAGCCATGTAACCAGCACTGTCCAGTAAAAATATAATGCAAGCCATATACAAGCTCCATATGTAATTTTAATGTTCTTTTGTAGCCATGTTAAAAAAGTAAAAAGAAACAGGAAAAATTAGTTTTAATTATATTTTCTTTAACCTAATATATGTAAATATTATTTCAACATATAATTAGTATAAAAATTTATGAAATGTTTTACTTTTTTTCATACTGAGCATTCAAAATCTGGTGTATATTTCACTCTTAGAGAGCATTTCATATCGGACTAACCAACCACATTTTAAGTGTTGATAGCCACATGTGGCTAGTTAGCTACCTTATTAGACAGTGCAGATATAGACCAAGAGTGGAACTTTGAACTCCCCTGGTTTAGAGTGTCCAGATTTAGCAGAGGACATAACAAAACAAAAAACAATAAAAACAAAATGCTGGGATGCCCAGTTTCATTTGAATTTCAGTTGTATAAATAATAGTTGAGTGTGATTATGTTTCATGCTATATTTGGGACATACTTATAAAAATTGTTTCACACAGATTCAACTGATTGTTTTGCATTAATATCTGGCAATTCTACCCTGGAAACTTGAACCAGAAGATAAAGAATCTCTTCCTCTGAGGAAGGATGTTGATAACCCTCTGAAAATCAATATGCAAACCAGAAACTGTGGCCCATTTCTTCCTAAATCCCTAAGATGTTTAAGATAGAAGAAAGGGCTTATAAAACAGGGACGCAGTTCTTACATATTTAAACATTTTAAATCTAAATCATTATTTTAATATGTAAAGCTAATGAAATTTTATAAGTTAAGTGAATTTATAAAATATAAATTGTCTAGTAGCACATTATTAGGATCACATTTCATAAAAAACAATTCAGGTTTGGTTTTCAGGATCCTGGCTATTTCATGTTATTTTCCTGCCATTGGTTACCAGTACCGCTGTCACATAACTTTCTAGTTGGAAAGCATTAACACAAAATAATTATATTGCTGAATGCCAGGGTAAGGCTTACTTTACAAGTATTTAAGTACTTGTAATTCTTTGCTCTGGTGTTGACCGTTGGATCCTGACCCAGTCATCAGCCATTCAGTGCTTATACCAGTGTGTCTAATTCCTCCTAAGGGCTCTTTTACAGATAAATAACTTTCCATTCTTATTCTTTTAACATTTTTTTAATGTTCAAATTTTAGTATCATTTTTGAAGCATGTAACAACTTATTTAGTAGTGGTTTTATCACTCTTAAGCTTTAGAGAAGAGACCATTTATAATTCGTGTTCTCTAAGGACAGTAATTACACCAGCTCCACACTCCTTCTCAGGGAAAACACTTACCTTCACCAGATGAATGACTGACTATAGGTGACAGCTCTACTTCATTACTATATAGGTAGGTAGATCCAGCTGCCTGTGTGGTTTGGCAGTTTAGCAGTTCAGTTTAAGCCATGGCGCATTCCAAATCCATTCATGCTTAGGAGAATGTACCCAAGAGTGTGGATATGTTTATAATTACTGCATTTCCTTCAGAGAACAAGAATTACAGGTAAGTTTTTATTTTTTGGCAGTGATCCAACAATTATTTTTAAATAAGAAATGTAAGAATCTGAAAGTATTTCCTCTTTTTCAAAACAGTCACCTAAAAGTTCTCAAATATATCCTACATTAAATAGTATTTTTCTCCCTCATTTTAATAAGGAATTGAACTTGGTTGTAGTGGTGGGGTTGGGAGAAGACAACTTATTGTCATTTATAAGCTGTGACTATCACATATTTCATGTCTATAAATACCTTAGGTTTATGTAATAAGAATCTTAATTTGCCTAACTTCTAATATCTAAGGTATGAATTATTTTGTCAAATTATCACTTACATCTATATATAGATAAGGTGTTCAGCCTTTCCAAGTTAATATCTTTAACTGCAAAGAGTAAATTAATGGCTTATTTGGGTTTTCACTTTTATTTGGAAAACTTCCTTTTGTTTAAAAGCTTTTTAAAACTTGTTTAAAAGTTTAAAGGCTTTTAAACTTATTTCTGAAACCAAAATTTAAAGCGACAAAGTACTTCATTTATACTCTAGCCTCTTTTTTTCCTAGTGATATTTGGATGAGCTTCACAGGGTCTCTGAATCCCCTGAAATTGTAATCAAGTTTTGTACGTATGTAATTTTTGCTGTGAACAGTGTCCATAATTTTTATATTCTTGAAGGATTTTATAACAGAAGAGTTGGTGAACCACCACTGATCAAGTCTAATGTAATTATTTTTCTGACAGAGAAACTGAATTTCAAAGAATATTAGTTATATTTAACTAATATTTGCTAATCTTATAACTAATAAATATTATATTGTTAGTTGTATTTATTGGAAGTTAATACTTGTAAACACTAACGTTTATTTCTAAAAAGCATTGTATGTATACTTAGAAGGAAAAGATTTTAACTTGAATTAATTAAACTTGAGAATACCAGCCTAAATGGGAGCAGTAAATTTGCTAATAGTTTCTTCTTGTCTACTTTTTCCCAGATGGTACATAAAATAATGGCCTCTTAATAAAGTATAAAATAGTGGTAAATTCTTCAGATGGATTAGAAAAGAATTATCTATTACAGTTTACACCCTATTTTTCTCTATTTAAAAACCACCTCCAAAAAGAATAACTAAAACCCAAGAAAATAGGTGAATAATGT